TATTTTATATTTTAAAATAATTAATAGATAGAAGAAATATAAGCATCTAATAAAATTTTTACAGACATTTTGGCTGAACATACAACATCTGAAATATTTTGTTTTGATATTTGGTGTAATTTTTATTATTTTAATATATGATATATACTGTGAACTTATTTTTTCATTTATAGTTTATAATAAATTATTTAATCTGTTTTATCTCCATTTTATATATAAATATAAACAAAGAATTAAATATTAAGATGTCTGTTATTCAAAAATAATTTTGATCAACTAAAACGCTACAAGTATCTTATGAAAAATCCAATAAACATTTAGGCTGATCCTACAACATTTAAATATTTATATTGATATTTGGTATAATTTTATTCTTTTAATATATGATCTATAGTTTTGAACTTATTTTTTCATTCATAATTTATGATAAATTGTTTGATCTGCAACTCTCTTGCTTGATCCGCTTGATCTGCACTTGTCCTGCTTTATTTGCACTTGTCCTGCTTGATCTGCATGAACCAATTGATCTGCACCGCTTGATCTGCTTTTACCATTCGAAGCCTAAAGAAGGTGGGTTTGGCATAAAAAACGAGTGGGATTTTAATGATTAAAAGTAAATGTCTTTTTGGTCTCTGGTCGGTAGACAATCCGTGTGTCCTGTGGTCAGTGTTTGTTTGTTTGTTTAGTTTAGCTTTTATTTTTGATTTGCTATGTTTTCCACTGAAAATCAAAACACTAAGCAGCCACATGTAATTCTTTTAACGCGTTCGTTTCAGAACCTGATGAAAGCAATAATCATGTCCTCTTCTTCCTCTGCCCTTTTAAGTGCATGTAAAAAAGTAGTATTTATTATATAATCCGCTTTAATACTATTTGCTTTCTATTTCATGGCATAACTTGATATTATAAGAAAATATATCATTTGTGTAGTATATTTCTTAACTCGGTTTATGAAAGAATCGACATATTTATCCTCTTTCTATTCCATAAAGATAATATATTTGAACTGTTCACGCTTATTAAGAAAATATTTTTTTTTGTATCATATATACATTATTTTATGTGAAAATTTCAATTTCAAATTAAACCAATAGTAATTTAGTAAATTCAATTATTAAAAGAAAATCATAGAAATACAAAAATACATTTCGTGAAAGACTTTATTAACTCTTTATAATTATTATGGTTTTAAAAATTTATTTTTCTAAATTTTATCTTAGTGTGGAAGGAGCATTATGTAATTTTATTTTTGCGATTTTCAGACATCATCAGCTTTTATTTTTGATTAGCATCTCAGATGATTTTTTTTTGTTTTTTTTTTTTGAGAAATCTACACCTAAGATGATTTTGTTATGATATAAATAAATGTTCCTTTAAACTCATTTAGTTTAATAAATTTTAATGTAAAAGCTCATTTACTAAAAGGAGTTTTACTTTAAATATTAACAGAGACCCTGTTAGTTTATTTAATTTAGTATAATTAATTAATTTAAAAAAATCAAAAACAATTTGAGCTTTGGCAAAAAAAAAATCACTATTTCTCAATTTTGGTGGAAAAATCGTGATAGTGTGGTTTTGACTGGAATACTTAGTTTTGCGGCTTTGGTTGGAAGTTCGGTTTTGCGATTTTGGTTGAAATTTTTATTTTTCTGATTTTGACGGGAATACATGATTTTATGAATTTGTCGGAAAAACTTGATTTTGTGATTTTGATATAAAAATTTGTTTTAAAGGTTTAGTGAGAAAAAAAAGAATCGTGATTTTGGCAGAAAATATGATTTTGCGGTTTGGAGGGAAAATTAGATTTTGTAGTTTAATGGGAAAACATATTTTTCGATTTTGAAGGAAAAAATAATTTTTATTTTTTGCAGAAACTCTCGATTTTGTGGTTTTTGCGGAGAAAAGTGATTTGCGGTTATGGTGGAACAGTTATACTTTATAGATTTGGCGGGAAAATCTGAATTTATGGATTTTATGGGTTTTTTTGCGATTTTAGTGAAAAAATGTGATTTTTTTTGGTTTTGGCGAAAAAATCTGATTGTATAATTTGGTAGAAAATTTTGATTTGTAGTTTTGCAGAGAAAAGTGATTGTGCGACTATGACGGAAAAATTTAATTTTTTAGTTTTTATAAAAAAATTCAAATTTGCAGGTTTGACAAAAAAATCAACTTTGAACTTAAAAAAAAAACTGAAACCTTCTCTTCCATTATCATTCTTTAAATACTTTATTTAAAAATAAACTTTTATTCCATAAAATTAATATTAAAAACATAAAATCATATACTCCACTTTAAATGGGTATGAATTAATATAATATTTACGGGTCTAAATGGTATTCCTAATAGATCTATTTTAAAATGAATTTAAATGGATATAAATTTTAAATAGAATGGATTTTAAATAGGGAGATTTTCTTATCTTAACTTCCCTGAAATGGTTGTGTCTAGTTGACTACTATAACTTCTAACTGCTAGAAAAGTTATATAAATTTTTTTTAAAAAATTATATAATATTCATCTATATTATTAAAATAAAAGTATCAATAAAAACCATCCTTCATATTTACAACTTATTTACAACTAAATGACATTGAAGTAATTAAATGAATATATATTTAAGTAATCTTTGTCTTTTCCAAAATTGAAGTAATTAAATAAACCTGTATTTAAGTAATCTTTGTCTTTTCTAAAATTAATAAAGTAATAATTATTTTTTATTATATGTCTTCTATGTCTTTTCCAAAATTAATAAAACATTTCCAAAACTGATTTCACGATAAATCATTATAAAAATTTAACTTACATATTGCATATCAATACTATAAACATTATAAATTTTAATGCCATCAATAATATACACAAAATATTTATATAAGAATTTAATTAACTTACATATTGTATGGATCATATTCAAAAGATACCGATGATACAACTGATGGTTTACAAGACAAACATGTTCATCAATATAAACTATAAAATTATTATATTTATAAATATCATATTAAATAATTATTGAACGCGGATAAATTTTGAATATATATTATCGCTTAGAAAACAAATATTTAAAAATGACTGAAAATATTATCCATGTATATATGGTTTAAATCACAAACTTAAGCCCATTTATAATCTTATATCAGTTACATCAAGTTTAAATCTTAATTTTTCTATTTTCCAAATTTTGTAGAAGTTTAATAATCATTTCATTTTATTACAAATGTTATAGCTAATGTATTATTTATAATTAGCATGCTAATTCATTTTTGTTTATTTTCGTATTTTTTGTTTAAAGAATTTATTCGTTATATATGTTAGGCATGGATCTAATTATATAAATGTTGGAGTTGGTTATATGATACTCAATATCGAGAATATATTTTATATTAAAATATAAAATATAAAATTAAGTACAAATATAATTTATATTTATATACAAAGCTACATTTACAAATATAACATTAAATATAAACATAAATTAAAATATAAAGCACGGATCAAAATCTAGTGTCTATAAATTGAAGGTTTGATCATTTCTTGCCTAAGCTCATGCTATTCGTCATTTTTTTTTTGTCATAATAGACATACGCAATGTACGTGTACGGGACAACTATAGTTCCTCGACTATTAAAGAATTTGATAAATTAAGGTATCTTTAACTTTATTCTATTTTTGTCATATTATATTTTTCGTTCCAAAATATAATTTACTCTCTAAATAAAATAATTTATTCTATTTTATCCTACTCTATTTTTCAACTTTATTTTATTTTTTCATATTCTATTTTTTCTTCCAAAATAAAATTTACTACATAAATGAGATAATTTATTTTTTGTTTGCTTATCACTCCATTATAAAAGGAAAAATAGAATAGAATTAGACTATTTTTCACTCTATAATCCATTTTATTCTATTTCAGAGAAAAAAAATGGAGTTTTATATTAGAGATGTTATTAGAATGGCGGTGACATGGTATTCCTCGTATAAACAGACATCCTTTTACCCTAAACAGGATTATATAAAGTAAGGGTGAATTAAAATGCTTCTGTTAACACGTCGAAAGTAGACGCATATGTTTTTTCTGCTTTGCTAAAATATGGAAGTAGACGCATATGTTAACATTAAACAATATTCTTAAAAACATAAATAACTATTAGTTGTTCGTAGGAAGCCAAAGCCATCAGGGAGATCCACAAGATGATGACAGCTCCTCATTTAGAAGTCGTAAAAGAAGATGTGCAGTACTTGCAGATTTATTTGGTTTGATATATATAATATTTCATAATAAATGTACCCGGAAAATAAAATATCGTGGTCCCAAAATTTAAAATATCTAAAAATTAAATATGACATTACTAGATAAAAAATTGAAAATATAATAACTGTAGCTATAAGATAAAAATTTTGGTTTAGTAAAAATTTGAGAAATGAAGAGTCTTGTTTTCGTTAATATTTGCGATTTTTGGTGGCTACATCATTGTATCTTGCAATCTATGGAATTGGAGTAAAAATTAGAAAACCACAAAATATTAAGAATATGCTCACAGAAAAAAAAAAAAGCTTTCAATGTGTATTATCAAAGATAATGGCGGTGTAGTTGTACAACCTGATGAAATTTTTTATCATATACTTGATGAATATAAATGAATAAAAACCTATAAATATTAACTAACTTTTCTTAGAGCACCTTCATTGAAGGTTTATGGGGGAAGTTCACACGGAAAACAAAAAAAAAAGAAAAAAATCTATGAACTTCTCTCTTCTAAAGTTCTTTCGGATGAACTCCTCTTTCCTAAGGTTAACCACGTGACGGCTCGGGATTGATTTAGATTTTTTTTTTGTTTAAAGAAAATGAAAAAGAAAACATAAAAATTTTAATAGTAAAAAATTGATTCAATGAAACTCAAAAGGGGTTCATTGATGTGGATGCTCTTACCAAAAGACACACGTAATACATCATTATATAAATGTGTGTATTCATTATCAAATGGGATGTTTGTGACCTTTTGTCTCATCTTGCTTTCTCTCTCTTTCCTTTCTTTTTGGTTCCAAAAGAATGTATGCAATGAAAGAAGAAGACTGTCTTCAAACGTTTCACAACTTACAAGAGTATCAAGACCAGTTTCTTCTTCATCACCATCCACAAATCCTGCCTTGGTCATCTCTACCTTCTTTTGACCCGACCTATTTCCCATCCAACCCGACCCGTTATCCTGAACCACTCCCCTACCTCAACAGGAGAGCTTCTTCTTCCTCTTCTTTTGACTATACCGATGGTTTCGTCTCTCCTCCTTCCATGGATCATCATCATCATCATAACCATTTAAGGGTTTTATCGGAAGCTCTTGGACCCATCATGCGACGTGGCTCATCCTTCGGGTTTGATGATGAGATTATAGGGAAACTGAGTGCACAAGATGTCATGGATGCTAAGGCCCTGGCTGCTTCAAAGAGTCATAGTGAAGCTGAGAGAAGAAGACGAGAGAGAATCAACACTCATCTAGCTAAGTTGCGAAGTATTTTACCAAATACAACCAAAGTAAGTTTTGTAATTAATATCTTCTCCCTTTCATTAAGGCTTTGAATTTTTGAAATTTAAGTTATGTTTTTGAAGACTTTTAAGGATGATTAATTGAGTTTAATGAAACTTCAGTTATTTGGTCGACAAAAAAAAATGAAACTTCAGTTTTTTTTTTTTTTTAATTCGGTTCCTGTTTTCTTAGTAGTAATGTAATTTTATTCTTCAAAAATAAAATTACAACAAACGATATTTTTGGTATATAACTATATAGATCATATATTCGTATATTCATATAAATAATTTTGATGAAAAATAAATGATTCAATGATCTAGCAATTGTCTCTAAGTATCATGTATTAATTATACTTTCCATCTTTTTAAGCAATATATAAATCCTAATGAATGTTGGGGTACTTTTATAGCACTTATCATTATCAAGAACGTTAGCTAAATATTTATTCTTCGTTTTGTTTATCTTTAGACGGACAAAGCTTCGTTGCTAGCGGAAGTGATCCAACACATGAAGGAGTTAAAGCGGCAGACATCACTGATCACGGACACGAGTCAACTCCCAACAGAGTGCGATGATCTGACCGTTGACTCGAGCTACAACGACGAAGAAGGAAACTTGATGATAAGAGTTTCCTTTTGCTGCGAAGACAGGACTGAACTCTTGCATGACATCATCAATGCCTTAAAGTCTCTATGTCTTCGAACTCTCAAAGCCGAGATCGCAACCGTAGATGGTCGAGTCAAGAACGTCTTGTTCTTGAGCCGAGAAGACAATGATGAATATCGTAGAAACTTCGATGGTGTTGTTGACGTGGATAATGATGATGAAGAGAAGAGATATAATGGTGTGAGTTCGATAGAAGAAGCGTTAAAGGCGGTTATAGAGAAGTGTGTCAATAATAATGATGACAATAACTTGGAGAAATCATCTTCAGGGAGTATTAAGAGGCAAAGGACTAGCAAGATGGTAAATCGATGTTATAATTAGTTAATTCCTCCCTCATAAAATGATTGATTAGATCATCAAGTCTTTAATTAATTATTATGTGCTAATTAGGCTTGCATAATGGGATTATGTGATAGTTAGTAGTATGTTGTGAGAGGAAGGTAATCTTTTTAATTTGGTTTGGGTTTCTTCTTCTATGTTTTTTTAATCTATGAAGGACCCTTTATTTAGGGTTTTACAGTAAGGTGTTTGGTTTATGTAACAATTAAGACATTTCTCGTCTTGGTTAATACAGTAAATGTAAATAGTTTGGGTTTGTATTTGTTGGAGTGGGATCAAGAAGGTTTTCTTTTTAAATTACGAACTAATTAAGTGCACTATATTAAATTTATTCTATGCAACTGAATACTAAACCCACACTACTACCACGATGGCTAAATTATATCTCCTCCCAAATCCATTGTTAAATTTCTGACAAGTATATAGAGTAATGTCGAGCTCAAAGTTCCAATGTGCATGCAAAAATTTTGAATCTATATACTTTCAGTTTTACATAATTTCCTGGTATACGAATGTATACCTCATATATTTTTTTTTTTGTTCCCCAACGAATGTATACCTGAGATAAAGTATATACTTATATAGTTAATGCTATATTTCCTAAATTAGATTGGAGTAGAGGGTTGCTATATAATGGAAGATTTGTAACTTATAGCAAGTGGAATCGAATGGAATACAACGAATCTTTTTCGTGGGAAGCGAATACTCAGATCTTTGTTCTATTGATAGAAACTGTTTGTGGGCTTTAGTTACTGACTCTCGTCTTCGTCTTACGTTATTTATTATCATTACAAATACAGTTGCTACCACAAAGCACACCACGTCATGATCTCGTCATTTGTAAATCTATAGCTCTATTTCTGTTCCTTTTTCGCTCATTTTTAACATATACCAAAACTAAAGTATTTGTTTCATTACCTGGATAAAGTTGCACATTATATTGGTTATATAATAGGAGCTTATTTTACTTTTCAGATATTAATTGTTCTTCTTTGAAACCCTGGTTTCACTAATTACTATCTCACTTGTTTCAACTAAGAATTGTTTTCATTTTTTAACATATATCTGAAGACATTAATGAGATCGACTACTATTTCAATGGGCCAATGGTAAGGAGTTTTTATTGGCCTGAATGTACCGACTTGTATATGTGATATGTTAACGTTTAAGAAAAACCTTAACCTGCTAGGATACTGATATTTTCTAGTCCATGGGGTGATTGATATGTTGAGGCCCAAAGTAAAAACTAAACTAAAATGGCCTATGCAGATAAATATGCAAAAGATATAATAAGAAAATCATGTGCAATGTACAATTTCGAAAGAACACGAATACGAACGCACCTGGACAGAAAGTTCATGTGTTGAAGTACAAGAAACTCGTTATTGTGGACCAATAATGTGGAATAGATAAGTATTTACATAAAAACCAAAAACACTTAGCCTGATTTGTGACTACTTGGACAGTAGCAATATATATATACGCTCATTATTCAACAATGAATTTAATTTAAGCTTTAAAACACATGTGAAACAAAGATATATTGGCTCCATTTGGCAAAATTGTGAAATGGCATAATGATAGCAACTTAAAGATGAAATTGAAATTACCAAACAATTAACAAAACTTAACCTAGTTAGAAGAAAGGAATATGTTGTTCAGTATCACTAACTTTGTAAAGTACCAAACATATAACATGATTTTACAAAACTGAAGGACTGCTTAGAATATGTGAATCAAAATCATTCTCTGATTCTGTTATAAAACTATTTCTTAATTTTCAAAATACCAAGTAATTCTAACATTTTAACGACTCATTTGCTTCCATATAAGAAACTGCTTTATCATATTTTTCGTATTGAGTTTTGTTTTGCTTTGTTATAATAAGATAATAGAGAGATCCATTTTACTTGTTATTTCCACCCGCTAAAAGATTCGGGTAGCGTTAATGCTTTAACTGGTACGATTCTGATAATATATTGAATTCTGTAAACAAATCTAAAAATGGTAAGCCATTGTTGGGTTGACACTCACCTAAGAATGTTTAGCTTAATTGGGTAAATTAAACCACTAGATTGAAAAATTCGATAACGTGAACATCATCTGATAAAATTTGGACCCTGATGTGAGAAAGTGAAAATAGCTGAGGTGGATGGTTCTGGATAATAAGAATAGAGAAAGAGACAACTTTGTATGAAAAAGTTCTTTGTATTTTTCTGAATGAATCCGTTACAACGTTATCAATACATCATATATAGTGAGCTTTGACCAATGATAATGCAGCAGCTAACTATTCTCTTATTAGCTCTCTATGCCTAGGGATTGGAATCTGTTATAAAGCAGAGGAGATGACAGCTGCAAGATGCTCCTTCTGCAGTTTCCGTTGAACGTCTTGACTACCGTGTGTGCTTCAGACATGGGCCTCGTGTCCTCTCTTATGGGTTCATGACAGTCTCGGCCCATGGTATTTTGGTTACTACTAATACCCCCCGTCAAACTCAAGGTGGAGGGACCAACTCTGAGTTTGTCTCTCAACATCGTAAAAGCTTGGCGTGGAAGCGACTTGGTAAAAATATCTGCAGTCTGTTGTGTTGCAGGTATATGTCTCGTCTCAACAAATCCCAAGGCTTCTCTTTCTCTTGTGTAGTGCCAGTCGGTTTCAAAGTGCTTGGTGCGAGCATGAAAGGCTTGATTGATTGTGAGGTGAACTGCCGAGAGATTATCACACTTCAACACTGCAGGTCCTGACTAAGATATACGAACATCACGAAGCAAGGATGCAATCCATGTTAATTCAGCACAAGTCTCAGCCATGGCTCGGTACTCTGCTTCTGTAGATGACCTTGAAACCGTTGTTTGACGCTTTGCACTCCAGGAAACAAGATTGTCACCGAGATAAGTACAGAAACCTGTGGTCGATCGTCTAGTTTCTTTGCAACCCGCCCAATCGCTATCACTAAAGGCACTGACATTCAACGACGCAGACTTAAGTATGTGAATACCAAACGAAGACGTACCTTTCACATAACGAAGCAAGCGTTTGAGCAGAGCAAAATCTGCTTGAGTAGGTTCATGCATTCTCTGACACACAAAGTTGACTGCAAACTGAATGTCTGGTCTCGTGAGGGTTAGGTATTGTAGTTTGCCAGCCAAGCTTCTGAAATACGAAGGATCTGAAAAGAGGTCAGACTTAGTATCAGAGAACAATTGCAGAGGTAGAGGTGTCGGCATTGGATTGCAACTTGACATGCTATCTTGATAAAGTATGTCCTCGGCATACTTAGCTTGTGAAAGAAACAGACCATCTTTAGTAGACTCCACTTGGATTCCCAAAAAATAATGCAACGGACCAAGATCTTTCATGGAGAACTGAGAGCTAAAGACTTCTTTAAATTGTTGCAGGAGCAGAGAACAGCTACCAGTGAGGAGAATATCGTCTACATATAGAAGCAAAACCATAGTTTTTCCTTTATGATGATAGACAAACAGCGATGGGTCGGCCTTGGAACAGCTGAATCCAAATTCCAGTAGATAGTCACTGAACTTGTCGAACCAAGCTCTAGGGGCTTGTTTAAGGCCGTAGATAGCTTTGTCCAGTTTGCAAACATATGGAGGTCGTTCTGCATCAACAAATCCTGGAGGTTGACTCATGTAGATATCTTCTTTAATGTCTCCATGAAGAAAGGCACACTTGACATCAAGTTGAGTTATTGGCCAGCCTTTTGCTGTGGCAACATTGAGAACCAGTCGAATTGTGGGAGTCCGAACCACTGGACTGAAGGTTTCCCAGAAGTCTACACCTTCTTCCTGGTCATTGCCTTTCACAACAAGTCTTGCTTTACAGCATCGTACAGACCCATCAGCATTGCACTTAATCCTGTACACCCAACGACAACCTAAGACTTTCATTGTGGAATCATATGGGACAAGATGAAACGTTTTATTCTCTTCTTGTGTTTTCATCTCCTCTACCATCGCATCAGTCCACCGAGGATCTTTCAGAGCAGCAACAACAGACTTGGGTTCTGTTAGAACCAAGGGATTTGTTAACAAGGCATACCGAGGATTAGGTTTAGTGATACCAGCTTTAGCTCTTGTAGACATAGGATGAATATTAGTTACAGGGGGCTGATGATCTTGCTCTATTTGAATGGGATTTTTAGGTCCAGAAATAACATGTTGATCGTTGTTATCTTCAAGAATGTGCTGCTCCTGCACTTGAGCTGGTGGAGGGACTCCCTGAGGCTCGACAGGAAAGTTTGGTCTTGGTATAAGGGAGGGGCCTTAGCCTTGATCAGAAACAGGTACTGACTCTGGAACAGCTCTTTGCCAAGACTGCAACAGGGTTGATGGATACTGAGGAACCAAATGCTGAAACTTTGCCGCAAATGGAAAAAGTGTTTCATCAAAGATCGCATGACGTGTTATATACACACGACCTGTTGGAGGGTACAAACATCTGTATCCTTTGTATGCAGAGTTATAACCCAAAAATACACATTGCAGAGATCGAGGTTCAAATTTGTGAGAAGAATACGGCCTCAAACACGGGTAACAAGCACTTCCGAAGACCCTCAACGCAGTATATTCAGGTTTCTTGTTTAACAATACCTCATATGGTGTAAGATTGTCAATGCTCGAAGAGGGAAGAAGATTGATCAAATAATTTGATGTATGAAAACTTTCAACCCAAAACTTCAAAGGAACCTTACTGTGAAACATCATAGCCAGACTTAGTTCAATCAAATGGCGATGTTTTCTTTCAACCATACCGTTTTTCTCAGGTGTGTACGGACAAGACATCTGATGCTTTATGCCATTAGACTCCAACTCTGTCTTAAAAACGTTGCTGATGAACTCTCCACCACCATCAGACTGGAACACTTTGATACGAGTACCCAACTGAATTTTCAACTTGTTTTCGAAACAGAGTAAACACACTGCAAAAATCAGACTTCAAACAAAGAGGATATAACGAGAGTAGTCATCAACAAGCACCACATAATATTTAAAGCCTAGTACAGAGTTCACAGGAGCCGGACCCCACAAATCACAATGAATCTTGGCTAAAGGTTCAGAGGTACAAGATTCAGAAACAAAAAAAGGTAAACGCAAACTTTTTCCCATTTGGCAAGGTTCACAAACGAGATGCCTTCTGCTCTTATTGATGTTAATCGCCTTGCTGTGTTGTAGGTGCTGAAGAACCTTCATACTTGCATGACCCAGCCTGTAATGCCATAGAACATCATCCACAGTCTGTTGTCTTGATGAGTAAAACGTCTTGAAGTGTTGATTCTCCAGCACATAAAGGCC